ACAGTTCAAGAGAAGATAGGTACAATACATATGACTGAAAATAAGGATTTTTATATTCTCACATGTTAAAAAACAACAACACAACATTCAAACCAAAAGGAAAGGATGAATAGCCCATTAAAAAACAATGAGCAGGCTGGCATGGTGGCTCACGCTTGTAATCTTAGAATGTTGGGAGGCTGAAGCGGGTAGATTGCTTGAGCTCAGGAGTTCAAGACCATCCTGAGCAAGAGCAAGACCCTGTCTCTACTAAAAGTAGAACTAGCTGGGCATAGTTGTGTATGCCTGTAGTCTCAGCTACTTGGGGAGGTGAGGCAAGAGGATTGCTCAAGCCCAAGAGCTTGAGGTTGGTGTGAGCTAGAATGACATGGCACTCTACCCAGAGCAACGGAGTGAGACTCTGTTCCCCCACCCCCCAAAAAACAATAAGTAAAGGGTATGTATGAACAGTCAGTGCACAGAAAAAAAAAAGCTCAATCAACATATAAGATGTTCAACCTCATCAATAATTAGGAAAATCCAAATGAAAACAACACTAAATTCTCCCCTAAGGAGACCAGGACATATTCTAGCATAAAAGTAGGTGTCAAATTGTTACAGGCACACTCTGTGTGCCCCAGTGATCAGTGTCCCAAAGAGCTTGATACAGTGGCTAGGGAAGTCTTTAGGGAGAGGCTTTTTCCATGGTACAATGCAAAGGCCAACCTATGTGAGTTCTTTGATGTTCTATGAGGTGTGCTTTCCGGCAAAAAGCTTTCCCACATTCTTGACATTCAAAGGGTCTCTCTCCTGTGTGAATTCGCTGATGTTCAATGAGGCGTACTTTCACATAGAAAGCATTTCCACATTCACTACATTCATAAGGCTTCTCTCCTGTGTGAGTTCTCTGGTGTTGACAGAGGGATTTTTTCATACTGAAAATTTTCCCACATTCACTACATTCATAGGGTTTCTCTCCTGAATGCATTCTCTGATGTTCAATGAGGCGTGCTTTCACATAGAAGGCATTACCACACTTGTTACATTCATAAGGTTTCTCTCCTGTGTGAATTCTCTGATGGATCCCAAGAGATGAATGCACCCTGAAAAATTTCCCACATTCATTACACTGATAGGGCTTTTCACCAGTGTGAGTTCTCTGATGATTATTGAGAGTCATCTTCATTCGGAAGAATTTCCCACATTCACCACACTCATAGGGTTTCTCACCTGTGTGAATTCTTTGATGTTGATTTAGGGATTTCTTTGCACGAAAATTTTTCCCACATTCCCCACATTCATAGGGTTTCTCCCCTGTGTGAGTTCTGTGATGTTGAGTTAGGGATATCTTTACACGAAATGTTTTCCCACATTCACTACATTCATAAGGTTTCTCCCCTGTGTGAGTTCTCTGATGAATTGTGAGGGTTGCCTTCTCGGAAAAGGTTTTCCCACATTCAGTACATTCATAGGGTCTCTCTCCTGTGTGTGTTCTTTGATGTAGAATGAGCTGTGACTTTCTGCCAAAAGATTTCCCACATTCATTACATTCAAAGGGCTTCTCCCCTGTGTGAGTTTTCTGATGAGCAATGAGGTATGATCTTGCACTGAAGGTTTTTGCACATTCACCACATTCATATGGTCTCTCCCCTGTATGTATTCTCAGATGTTCAATGAGGTTTGATTTCCTGCAGTAAGCTTTCCCACATTCATGACATTCAAAGTTTTTATCTCCTGTGTGTGTTCTCTTATGTCTAACAAAGTCTGTTTTCTCATGGAAACCTTTCCCAAATCCATTATATTCAACATTTTGATCCAAAGATTGAATCTTCTGATACTGAAGAAGGTTGTTATCATGCCTAAGGACGTCATCCTCAACAGAACTATTGCCATACAGCACTGAGAGAGAGCCTTTAAAAATAAATCACAACATGTCACTCTTTCACATAAAAGTCCAAAAGAATTTCCGTTGTCACAGTATAAAATTAGACTCCTTAACACAACTTTAAAACCCTACATAATTTGGCCCCCTGCTAACTCTCTAATAAAATCACCTCTTAACATTCTCACACTCTTTCACCCTGGCTTCTTTGCTATTCCTAGAACATATCACTCATACTAGGTTGGGTACTTGCAATGGTCTCTGCCCAGAATACTCAAAATCTCCATGGCTTTTCTCTCTTACTTTGGTTTGTGCAGTATCGTTAACCTCACTAAAAAGCCTTTCCTGACCACATTACCTGAAAGTACACATCAGTGTCTAATCTACCCTTCTTACCTTACATTTTCTTTTCACCACCCAACGGATGATGCATTTGTTTGTTTCTGTTCACTTTTCCCTGACTAAATTGCAAGCTCCAAGAGAAAAGAGAGAGCATTTTATTCATTGCTGGATCCCCACACCTAAAATGTGACTGGCACATTCACATGTTATACTCTTTAAATGGTGGATACTCATTTAAAGTTTGTATGAATGAATGCCTGACAAGAGAAGGCATCCAGGGCAATGGAGGAAAGGTAGAGTAAATATGTAAGATGAAGTAGAGATAAATAAGAGCAGTAAATAATTTTCAAAAACTCAAGATAAAATGGAAAAGCATAGAAGTTTTAGTGTGATATTAAGATGTGTGATTTTGGTATCAGAAGCATGTAAATCTTCTGTCCTTACTTTCAAAGAGTTAGGGCCTCTAAAAAGTGTTTCCTGAAAAATGTTGCATAAGGGTAATCTCGGACCTTATTTACTGGGATCTTATTTTTCCTATTTTCCATTTGTTTGTTCTTGCTCACTCACCTGAGTAACCATGGCTAGAGGATTCTTCCTCTAATATCCATAGCTCTTCTCCTCGCTCCAACTTGAAGATCATCTCTGGTTTGGCCATGCAGAAGCCTGTTAATAGGAAATGGCCCAGGACGTGGGCCAAGCTGTCTGAGCTTTAGGGCCTCTGATGGAAGAGGAAGGTGCATCTTCATGAGCTGCACAAGGAAGGGGGCCCATTTAAACCTTTCATTGGGGAAGTGAGATCACACACATTCTTCCTGGTGCTCTAAACTGATCAGTCATCTGAGACCCTTGAATCTAAAACTAAAATATCATTAAATTCTACAGAGGCTACACATGTTACAGCAACCACAAAAGGAAACACAGCTCCCAGGAGTTACATGGACATTCATCCTCACCCACAGATGCCAGGTTGCTGTAGGTCTCCAGCATCACATCTTTATGCATGGTTCTCTGAGCAGGGTCCAGTCTGTACCACTCCTGTCGGGTGAAATCTACAGCCACGTCCTCGAATGACACAGATCCCTGAAACAACAATCTGCAAAGATCAGAATGGGATGCAAGGAAAAAATCTGTGGGAACTAATCCTTTCAATGGAGCCCTGTTGAAGAGTAGAGTAGACAGAGCTACACTAGATACCTGACTCTGTATCTTGCTTGATACTATACTTTTGGAGGGAACCCTGAAAAAACCCTACTACTAAGTTAATTTATTAATTCATAAAGAAAGATCTACTAGAATACTGAGTCAACATTATGTGTCTAACACTGTACCAGTTGCTGTGGACATAAAAGTGCAGATACCATACGGCCTGCTCTCAGGGAGCTCACACCGGGAAAGGCATGGGACGGAGTACTGGGGCTGAATTTCACAAGAGATGAAACTTGGTGTCATGATACTGCACTTCACTTAAGGAGGCAGAGCTTTTAATCCTTCAACAAAATTATCATTTCCTTCATGAATATGGAGTGACACAATGAGGAAACACAGGAAGACAGAAAACACACATAGCACAGCATGAAAAAATATGGCACTGCAGATTATAATGAGGCAAAGGGCTATAGAGACATACAGGAGCCAACAGCGGAGGGATTCTCAAATTTTTCTTCCCTATAGATCATCAGTCTCCAAAATATTTGATTTCTTTTTTTTTGTTGTTGAGACAGAGCCTCAAGCTGTCCCCCTGGGTAGAGCGCTATGGCATCACAGCTCACAGCAACCTCCAACTCCTGGGCTCAAGCGAGTCTCTTGCCTCTGCCTTCCAAGTAGCTGGGACCACAGGTGCCTGCCACAACGCCTGGCTATTTTTTGGTTGCAGCTGTCATTGTTGTTTTGGCGGGGCCGGGCTGGATTCGAACCTGTCACCTTAGGTGTATATGGCTGGCGCCTTAGCCACTTGAGCCACAGGCGCTGAGCCAAATATTTGATTTCTTACCCCACTGGACTATTTTCTGACCATCCACAGTATATTTATGTTTTTTTTTTTGTTTTTTGTTTTTTGTTTTGAGACAGGAGCCTCAAGCTGTCCCCCTGGGTAGAGTGCTGTGGCATCTCAGCTCACAGCAACCTCCAACTCCTGGGCTCAAGCAAGTCTCCTGCCTCCGCCTCCCAAGTAGCTGGGACCACAGGCACCCACCACAACGCCCGGCTATTTTTTGGTTGCAGCTGTCGTTGTTGGGCAGGCCTGGGCTGGATTCGAACCCACCACGCTGGGTGTACATGGCTGGCGCCTTAGCCACTTGAGCCACAGGCGCCAAGCCAATACGTTTATGTTTATGTTTATAAATGATACAGAAATACTGTCAAGTGAACAAAAGGGAGAGATTATTGTTCTCCAGATAACTGCAGGAGCAGCTGGGTTAAGGCTGGAGCCATATATTGAGATTAGCAAAACAGGAGAGACAATGGGTTGATGGAGGAAAACTTGAGATAGATTTTAGAGTGTTTATGGAACATGTCCAGCTCCGGAGAGAAGGCTAGGAGAGATCAGGGTTTGGAGGTAAGATTATTTCAATACCAGCAGAGATTACCAGAATAAATCAGATAGCTAAAAGAGAATACAGTTTGAGAAAAGCACGAAGTAGAGTCTGAGTGGACACCAATATGCCATGAAGATTGCAAGACAAATTATTGAGTGGTAGAAATAAAATCAGAATAGAGTCTTGGAAAAGAAGAGAGGAGAGTAATGGTTGCCATTTTCAGTGTAAAGTAGAAGATAAGAGCACAGTCATTTACCTCCCCTACCTCAAAAAGCTAAGAAAAGACCCCAGTTTCTGGTCTCAGGAATAAGAAGGGCTCCCCCTTTGGGATAGAGAGAATGAGAGAAATTCTCTGGTTTTCTTTTTCACATATAGCCCTACCTCCAAGGAAGCCTCAGTCCCAAAGCTATAACCCTGCAATAGCAGGCACCTCAGACTCAAGGGAAAGGAGCCCTTTTCTCTGACCAAAGGATCAGTGGTAAGAAGAATGTGGGAGGCCGGGCACGGTGGCTGACACCTGTAATCCTGGCACTCTGAGAGGCCAAGGCAAGTGGATTGCTTGAGCTCAGGAATTCTTAACCAGCCTGAGCCAAAGTGAGACCCTGTCTCTAAAACTAGCCGAGTGTTATGGTAGGCACCCATGGTCCCAGCTACTTGGGAGGCTGAACCAAAAGGCTTGCTTGAGCCCAGGATTTTCAGGTTGCTGTGAACTATGAGGCCTTGGCACTTTACCAAGGGCAACAAAGTGAGACTCTGTCTCCCAAAAAACAAAAAACAAACAAACAAACAACAACAACAACAAAACAAAGGAAGAAAAATTAGTAAAAATCGCAAAATTAGCCAGGTGTGTGGCAGGTGCCTGTAGTCCCAGCTTACTTGAAAGGCTGAGGCAAGAGGACTGCTTAAAACCAAGGATTTTACATTGCTCTGAACTATGATGAGGCCAAAGCACTCTAACCAGGGTGACAGAGTGAGACTCCGTCTCAAAAATAAAGAAAGAGGCTTGGTGCTCATACCTCAGTGAGTAGGGTGCCAGCCAAGGTTGGTGGGTTTGAGCCTGGCCTGGGCCTACTAAACAGTAATGACAACTACAACAACAACAAAAATAGCTGGGCGTTGTGGCGGGCACCTGTAGTCCCAGTTACTTGGGAGGTTAAGGCAAGAGAATTACTTAAGCCCAAGAATTTGAGGTTGCTATGAGCTGTGACGCCATGGCACGCTACCCAGGGTAACAGCTTGAGACTCTGTCTCAAAAAAATAAATAAAGAAGTAAATAAATCAACTAAAAGAAGAGCCAATGTGGTAGTTGAGTCCTTGCCTCAGGGGGTTGAGGGGTGGTTGTTGTATATATCCTTCTGTTGTGCCCCTCATCATTTTTACCCTCATATTCATCTGAAATTAAAAGAAAGAAAGGGCTCGGCGCCTATAGCTCAACCGGCTAAGGCGCCAGCCACGTACACCTAAGGTGGCGGGTTCGAATCCCCAGCTCGGACCCGCCAAACAACAATGACGGCTGCAACCAAAAAACATAGCCGGGCATTGTGGCGGGCGCCTGTGATCCCAGCTACTTGGGAGGCTGAGGCAGGAGACTTGCTTGAGCTCAGGAGTTGGAGGTTGCTGTGAGCTATAATGCCACGGCACTCTACCCGGGGGACAGCTTGAGGCTCTGTCTCAAAAAAAAAAAAGAAAGAAAGAAAATCTCTAAGCCATACACACAAAAAGAACAGCCATTTCTCCAGGAAAAATGAATTAGATAACTAAGTTAATTATCAATTTGAAACATACGCAGCACTCATTGTATTAGCCAGGTGGGGTGGCTCAGTCCGGTAATCCTAGTACTCTGGGAGGCCAAGGCAGGGGGATTGCTTGAGCTCAGGAGTTCAAGACCAACCTGAGCAAGAGCCAGACTGTGTCTCTAGTAAAAATAGAAAAACTATGCAGGTGTTGTGGCTGGCTGCACCTGTAGTCCCAGCTACTCCAACAGACTTGAGAGGCTCAGGCAAGAGGATTGCGCAAGCCAAGAGAGTTGGAGGTTGCTATGAGCTATGATGCCATGACATTCTACCTAGGGCAACAGCTTGAGACTGTCTCAAAAAAATAGACAGATAGATAGATAGATAGATAGATTGATAGATATACACACACAGAAGGTATATTGTCCAACCACAGTGGAAGCAAACTAGAAATTAACAACAGGAAGATTAATAGGAAAATACCCAAACACGTGGAAATTAGAACATTTATACATAATCCATGATTCAAAGAGGGTCTCAAGAGAAATTAAAACTACATTGAACTAAATGAAAACATACATACAACATATCAATATAGTACCAAATGCATATATTTGAAAGAGGAAGGTCTCAAATAAAAAATGTAACGTTCTACCTCAAAAACCTAGAAAAAGAGCAAAATAAACCCAGAATAAGCAGAAAAAAAGGATATTATAAAGAGAACAGCAGAAAGTCATGCTGTTGAAAACAGAAAAACAATAGATAAAATGTAGCAAATAGCTGCTTCTCTGAAAAGATCAATAAAATTGACAAACTTGGCCAGGCTTGGTGGTTTAAATCTGTATTCCTAGTGCTCTGGGAGGCAGAGGCAGGAGGATCCCTTGAGCTTAGGAGTCGGAGACCAGCCTGAGCAAGAGTGAGACGCCATCTCTACTAAATACAGAAAAACTAGCCAGGCATTGTGGTGGGCCAACTGTAGTCCCAGCTACTTGGGAGGCTGAGGCAAGAGGATTGCTTGAGCCCACGAGTTTGAGGTTGCTGTGAGTTATGATGCCAGAGTACTCTACCCAGGGTAACAGAGTGAGACTCTGTCTCAAATAAATAAATAAATAAAATAATCTAACAAACTTGTAGCAAGAGAATATCCCTAGAGACCCTGAAGACATCTAAAGGATAATAAAGAAAGAGAATATTACAAACTGTGTACATATAAATTTGATAATTTTGATAAAATGATTAACTCTCCAAAAACCTCACCAACTATAACAAATCATCCAATATGAAACAGATGATATGAATAGCCCTATGACTATTAAGGCAACTGGATCTATAATCTTTTTTTTTTTTT